GAAGTATTCAAATGTTGTTAGGAAGTGTTAGGAAGTGTCCAGCCGGCCGATCGCTGGAAGGCCACCACGACTACACCTGGCTACAGCCTGCCTGCTCTCTTGTCTGGTGGCGAACAGCACAGACCAAGCTTCAAACAAAAAATCCAGCTGAAGGGTGAGGTGGAAAAAAGGGTTCAGCCTTCCCCATTGCTCAACGGCAAAGGGATACCGTGACCCGGATTCGAACCGGGGTTGCTGCGGCCACAACGCAGAGTACTAACCACTATACGATCACGGCGTGCCGCTGGCTCACCCTTTACTAAACACTATACGATCACGGCGTGCCACTGGCTCACCCGTGGCAACTACTGCAGCCCGAATACAAAAAGCGCCAGCGGTGTGTTTCTCCATTTCAGAAGGACTGGACATTTCGCATATCTGTGCAAGGGATATGAAAGAAAAACACACTGCCACTTATCCTCATGGCTGTCAGCGGAGTGCATAGTCGGCAGGATTCGAACCTGCGTGGGGAGAACCCAAAGGATTTCTAGTCCATTGCCTTAACCACTCGGCCACGATTACAGAAACAGCCCACTCTCTGCCCTGTTTGTGTGCAACACTACTGCCTGACCCACTTGAAATCCATAGCCCTAGCCAGCTCAGTCACCCAGCGGAGATTGCAAGCTAGCCCTGCAAGCAGATAAAACAGCGGTCCCACTGAGGATAAATCAGGCTGCCATGTCTCATCCTCTGGAATGGGGTTTTTCAGTGCTGGCCCTGGGGACCCACAGCACTGCATATTTCGTATGTCTGTCTTATTCTACTCACTCAGTTCACTTCATGAGCGTTCTTTCCTAACGAGCTGACCATCAGAATCAGGTGTGCCAAAAAAGGGAGTTGCACAAGGTCCCCAGGAGCAGGCCGAAACACCACTCTATTAGAGAGACAACAGCATAGATGGACCGACACAGCAGCATAGATGGACCGACATGACAGCAAGCTGAGGCCGCCAACAAGGAGATGGCACTTCGCCCGAACAGGGACTTGAACCATTGACCCTCAAATGAAAAGTCTGATGCTCAAGCGACTGAGCTATCCCAGCTCTTTTGCAGTGTATGCCTCTTACGTTTTATATAACAGTAGTTTTCCCACAAGCCGCCCAGAAGAAACTCATTTGCCACACGCGCTATGGGATGAAAACCACAAGCAATTATGGCAGAGAGAAAAAAGGACAAAGACCTTAGAAGGTAGTTTTCCTACAGACCGCCCAGAAGAAACTAATTTGCCACACGCGCTATGGGATGAAAACCACACGCAATTATGGCAGAGAGAAAAAAGGACAAAGGTCTTAGAAGGCACAATTTTCTTCACAGGGAGCTGTACAGCAAACTCCAACCGTAGTCGGCAGGGTTCTAACCAGCGTGGGGAGACCCCAATGGATTTCAATTCCATCGCCTTAACCTCTCGGCCACGACTACACCTTGCTACAGCCTGCCTGCTCTCTTGTCTGGGCGCAAATAGCACAGACCAAGCTTTGCAGCCTGCCTGCTCTCTTGTCTGGTGGCGAACATCACAGGCCAAGCTTCAAACACAAAATCCAGCTGAAAGATGAGGTGGAAAAAAGTGTTCAGTCTTCCCCATTGCTCAACGGCAAAGGGATGCCGTGACCCGGATTCCAACCGGGGTTGCTGCGGCCACAACGCAGAGTACTAACCACTATACGATCACGGCATGCCACTGGCTCACCCATGGCGACTACTGCAGCCCGAATACAAAAAGCCCCAGCGGTTTGTTTCTCCATTTCAGAGGAACTGGACATTTCGCATATCTGTGCAAGGGATATGAAAGAAAAACGCACGGCCACTTATGCTCATGGCTGTCAGCGGAGTGCGTAGTCGGCAGGATTTTAACCTGCGCGGGGAGACCCCAATGGATTTCTTGTCCATCGCCTTAACCACTCGGCCATGATTACAAAATCAGGCCACTCTTTGCCCTGTTTGTGTGCAACACTGCTGCCTGACCCACTTGAAGTCCATAGCCCTAGCTAGCTCAGTCACACAGCGGAGATTGCAAGCTAGCCCTGCAAGCAGATAAAACAGCGGTCCCACTGAGGAGAAATCAGGCTGCCATGTCTCATCCTCTGGAATGGGGTTTTTCAGTGCTGGCCCTGGGGACCCACGGCACTGCACATTTCGTAGGTCTGTCTTATTCTACTCACTCAGTTCACTTCATGTGCGCTCTTTCCTAACGATCTGACCATCAGAATCAGGTGTGCCAAACTAGGGAGATGCACAAGCTCCCCAGGAGCAAGCCAGAACACCACTCAATTAGAGAGACAGCAACATAGATGGACCGACATGACAGCAAGCTGAGGCCACCAACAAGAAGATGGCACTTTGCCCAAACAGGGACTTGAAACCTGGACCCTCAGATTAAAAGTCTGATGCTCTACCTACTGAGCTATCCGGGCTCCTTTGCAGTGCATGCCTCTTACGTTTTATATAAGATCAGTTTTCCTACGGATCGCCCAGAAGAAACTCATTTGCCACACGCGCTATGGAATGAAAACCACAAGCAATTATGGCAGAGAGAAAAAAGGACAAAGACCTTAGAAGGCAGTTTTCCTACAGACCGCCCAGAAGAAACTAATTTGCCACAAGCGCTATGGGATGAAAACCACAAGCAATTATGGCACAGAGAAAAAAGGACAAAGGCCTTAGAAGGCACAATTATCTTCACAGAGAGCAGTACAGCAAATTCCAACAGTAGTTGACAGGGTTCAAACCTGCGCAGGGAGACCCCACTGGATTTCAACTCCATCACCTTAACCTCTTGGCCACGACTACACCTGGCTACAGCCTGCCTGCTCTCTCGTCTGGTGGCGAACAGCACAGACCAAGCTTCAAACAAAAAATCCAGCTGAAGGATGAGGTGGAAAAAAGGGTTCAGCCTTCCCCATTGCTCAACGGCAAAGGGATGCCGTGACCCGGATTCGAACTGGGGTTGCTGCGGTCACAACGCAGAATACTAACCACTATACGATCATGGAATGCCACTGGCTCACCCATGGTGACTTCTGCCCCAGCGGTGTGTTTCTCCATTTCAGAGGGACTGGACATTTCGCATATCTGTGCAACTCATTTGCCACACGCGCTATGGGATGAAAACCACAAGCAATTATGGCAGAGAGAAAAAAGGACAAAGGCCTTAGAAGGCACAATTTTCTTCACAGGGAGCTGTACAGCAAACTCCTACCGTAGTCGGCAGGGTTCTAACTAGCGCGTGGAGACCCCAATGGATTTCAATTCCATCGCCTTAACCTCTCGGCCACGACTACACCTTGCTACAGCCTGCCTGCTCTCTTGTCTGGGCGCAAATAGCACAGACCAAGCTTCAAACACAAAATCCAGCTGAAGGATGAGGAGGAAAAAAGGGTTCAGCCTTCCCAATTGCTCAACGGCAAAGGGATGCCGTGACCCGGAGTTGCTGCGGCCACAACGCAGAGTACTAACGACTATACGATCACGGCATGCCACTGGCTCACCCTTGGCAGCTACTGCAGCCCGAATACAAAAAGCACCAGCGGTGTGTTTCTCCATTTCAGAGGGACTGGACATTTTGCACATCTGTGCGAGGGATATGAAAGAAAAATGCACAGCCACTTATCCTTATGGCTGTCAGTAGAGTGCATAATCGACAGAATTTGAACCTGCGCAGGGAGACCCCAATCGATTTCTAGTCCATCGCCTTAACCACTCGGCCACGACTACAGACATAGGCCCTGTTTGTGTGCAACACTGCTGCCTG